CATTTAATTCTCTCTAAAAGATCCCACCGGAATTCAATAGACTTCTTCATAAAAGAACCAACACAAGAAGTATCAAGCATGGATCGATCATTATGAGAAAGTCGAGCATAAAAATTCTGAATAATAATTTCTCTTGAGAGCTCATGATTGGGGAATGAATATAACATTGACTTAAGCCTCCTCCAAGCTAGAGAGATACTTTCTCCTTCACGAGGCCAAAAATTATATATATAATTCCGATCACGATGAACTAGATGCATAGGATATTTTTTGGTGAAACTCCAATTTCAATCGATTCTAGTTCCAAGATCCAATATCACGCATAGCCTGTACCATGCCAATGCTTTTCCCTTCAAAGATAAAGGGAAAACCTTCTTCTTAACTTCATCTCCGGGTAAACCTGCAAGCTTAAATAATCCACAAATTTCTTCCATATATATCATATGCATATCAGGATGTTCAGTTCCATCTCCTGCATAAGGATTAGCTAGCAGTTGTTCTATCATACTCGAAGGAATTTCATATTCAATATTTTTAGTAGGTGCAGTAGGTTGAGGGGTAACTAATTGTGGTTCCGGTCAAGGTGAAGATACACCGAACAAACCCCTCAAAGCATTGTTTTCCATAGTAACAAGTGACAATAAATTTCAGCACGTAGTAATAATTTTTCCTTACCAATTTCCACTTACCAAGAGCGCTTCACTCCCCAGCAACGGCGCCAGAAAATAGCCTTGATGACCGACAAGTATATGGAATCAATTGCAGCCTTTTCGATAAGTAAGAGTGTCAAACCCAATGAGGAGCGGAAGGAAATGACAAGTGGTTTTCAGCAAGGTAATGTCTGTAAGTGCTGACATTGTAAGTAACAGAGTAGTTTGATAGCAAGATAATTTGTAGCGCGCAAGTAACAATAATAGTAAGAAAAGTGCAGCAAGGTAGCCCAATCCTTTTGAGGCAAAGGACAGGCCAAAACGGTCTCTTATAATAAGCAAAGCGTTCTTGAGGGTACATGGGAATTTCATCTAGTCACTTTCATCATGTTGGTTCGATTCGTGTTCGCTACTTTGATAATTTGATATGTGGGTGGATCGGTGCTTAGGTGATCTTCTTACTTGAACAAACCTCCTACTTATGATTACCCCCTCGCAAGAATCCACAACTATGAGAAAAGTATTAAGAATAAATTCTAACCATAGCATTAAACTTTTGGATCCAATCGGTCCCTTACGGAATAGCGCATAAACTAGGGTTTAAGATTCTGGCACTCTCGCAACCCATCATCTAATTACTACCCCACAATGCATTCCCTTAGGCCCAAATATGGTGAATTGTCATGTAGTCGACGTTCACATGACACCACCAAGGGAATCACAACATACATACTATCAAAATATCAAACACATATAAAGTTCACATGATTACTTGCAACAAGATTTCTCCCGTGACCTCAAGAACAAAAGTAAGTACTCACAAATGATAATCATGCTCAAGATCATAGGGGTATTAAATAGCATATTGGATCTAAACATATAATCTGCCACCAAATAAACCATATAGTAATCATTTACAAGATGTAATCAACACTACTAGTCACGCACAAGCACCAATCTATAGTTCTGGCACCAAGATTGAACACAAGAGATGAACTAGGGTTTGAGATGAGATGGTGCTGTTGAAGATGTCGATGGAGATTACCCTCCCCAAGATGGGAGAGTTGTTGGTGATGATGATGGCGATGATTTCCCCCTTCGAGAGGGAAGTTCCCTGGACGGGATCGCTCTGCCGGAGGGCAAAAGTGTTCCTGCCCAAGTTCCTCCTCGAGATGGCGGTGCTCCGTCTCGAAAGTCCTCTCCTTATTGTTTTTCTAGGTAAAAATGACTTATATACCAGAAGATGGGCACCGGAGGTGGGCTAGGCTGAGCACAACCCACCAGGGCGCGCCTGGGGGGCCAGGCGCGCCCTGGTGTCTTGTGCTCACCACGTGGCCCCCTCCGGTGGTTATTTGCTCCAGTATTTCTTATTTATTCCATAAAAATTCCTCATGAAGTTTCATCTCATTTGGAGTTGTGCAAAATAGGTGGCCTGACGTAGCTTTTTCAGGTCCAGATTTCAAGCTGCTGGAATTCTCTCCCTTTGTGTGAACATTGCATATTATGAGGGAAAAGGCATTAAAATTACTCCAAAAAGGATTATTATGCATAAAACATTATAAATAATAGTAGGTAAACATGATGCAAAATGGACGTATCACACCCCTTCCATCTGACCCCATTGGGACATAGGAGGATTCGACGGTCGGCTGGGCCATTCTGGAGAGCTTTCGACCCACGCAGATGCCGATGGTCGACATATGTGACTTACCACGACTCATTCGGATGCGGATGAGCACGGGCACCGGCAGTGCCTGGGCTGCCCTCGACATGTTCGACGGAATGACCAAACAAGAGTCAGTGCATTTTCTTTGCTCCTGTCCGATCAAATTTTTGCATAGACCACTAGTTCATTTCGCACATGATGAATGCTTGCAAACCATAATCATGTAGGAGGCGTTCTCATCGAACATGATCAATGACAATGAAGATCCCACCAAAATGGAGTATGAATTGGAGGCCAGCACCACATTTGAAGTTGGGACAACATCTGATCCCAATCCGAGCAAGAAGAAGATGACCAAGACACTGAAGGCAAGAGGTCCGGCATTCTCAAGATTTGAGGACATCTTGTTGGTCAAAGCTTGGTTGGCCACAACAATGGATCCAATATGTGGCACCGAGCAAAAGGGGAACACCTATTGGACGAAGATTTGGAAGGAGTATGACGAACAAAAGGAGTATGTGGAGCCGCATCCTATCGTGTCCACCTGCAATGTGGCATCTCTCCAACATCGTTGGGGGATCATTCAAGGGGAAGTGAACAAGTACGCCGGCTACTACTCACAAGTGACCAAATGCCCCCAAAGTGGGATGGGAGTCACAACTCACTTAAGCTCAATTGCTTCATCTTGTCGCCATTTGCATATGCTTATGTGTTTGCATTCTTGTGCTCATACATATGTTGTTTGCTAGACGGCGGTGGCGGCCACTTTGTATCATGAGGTGGAGAAGAAGCATTTGCTTTTAGCCATTGTTGGGTCATATTGAATGGCAAGCCGAAGTGGAACCAACTTGTGGCCGACCTCAAGTCGGGCAAGAAGAGGAATGATGGCTCAAACTCCAACCAATCAATTGGGTTTGACGACGAAGATGAAGAGGTTGTCGTGACGATGGAAAAGCCACCGTGTCAAAGGATAACTACCAAGTCATTAGAAACAAGTGGGAGAAGGTACGTGTCGCCTGTGATGCCACGGCTACCAAAATGTCGTCCACATGGACGGGCATTTTTTTGGTGAGAGAGAACAAGGAGGAGAGGTACAAGCTCATGTTGAATGCGCAAAAGAAAAGAATGGAGTGGGACCGGAAGAGGGCGGAGAAGAAGCTCGAAATTGAGAGGGAGAAGATCGAGTTGGAGAAGCAACAAGCGGCGATCAAATGGGAACTTGAGAAGGCCAAGACATTTGGCGACATAAAGCCTGAGAAGGAGAGGTTGCAACTCGCATGGGGCGCGGAAGATGCGAGGATCATGTTAGCAGACGAAACCCTCTTAGATGAGCACGCGAATAAGTGGCTTGCAGACAAGAAGCTGGAGATCAACGATCGTAGGAAGTACGAGGCGGCGAGGGCGGCTGCAGGAGAAGTAGGCAACCTGGATGCAGGCAGAGCAGGCAGCCCGGATGCAGCTAGAGCAAGACGAGCATGGCGCATTCCACCTGGAGCACGACGCATTCCGCTCGGAGCAGGTGCTCGACCAGTGATTCGAGGCCATCCATCACATTCGGACATTGATTTCATTTTTGGTTTGTTAAACTATGTTTTGCTTTACTTTGTTTCGAACTTTGAAATTCGAACAATTTATATCATATGATTGACGTGCATGCATGGATTTGAGGATCAAAATTTGCGATATGTAAATGTGTGAGGCGATATTTGAGAGGTGTCCAATCAGTATCCGCGGACGCGTCCACATGCGTCTGCGGGCCAGATTTGCGAGTCCGTGTTCTAATTGCCTGGTTTATGATATTTTCTCCCAAGTTGCGTGTTGATGCGTTATCCATAGATTTCCGTGAGAATATTCCCTCCGAAAGCTAAGCTACAATTAGTAGCAAACACACCCCAATAAAAAGGCATATCCGTCATACTATCTCTTTCCCTTTTCCAACAGAAGCAGGCGCTCAAATATCAAATAATTCGATTAAGACAACAAATAAAAGTCGACAATGGTACCGGCAAAAGGACCCACGGAGCAACGTACACTGTTTATAATAATGCCCAGACACGACTCTGCAAGATATCAACAAGCCAACAAAGTAGTACTATTCACTATTCAGCAACTTATTTGACGTGCAATGAGCTACTCCTTCCGTTTCTAAATATATGTTTTTTTTAAATTTTGCAATATGATATAGATTTAATTTAGAGTGTAGATTCACTCACTTTGCTCCGTATATAATATATATTGAAATCTCTAAAAAAACTTATATTTAGGAGCAAAGGGAGTATTTAGCTTAAACTGCTACGATTAAGTCTAAAGCTGAGATAAGTACCACATGAAATGCTCCCAACTTGATGCACATTTGGAGCGTAGAAATTTAATCAGGAGGAACTTGTTCCGAATCTCTGATGACCAAACAGACATGCACTGACTGGCTCCTATGCAGTTCATCACAACCCATGCTGTTTTTTCTTTCTTTCGGAAGAAAACCACAAGAATATTTACACCCGCGAATAAAAACGAAAACTACTTGCGTCACCCGCATGACATGTAGTACATGTACATTTATCCGAAAATACGTGGATTAAATAAAGCCTTTTTACCACTCAAAGGGGCGCACAAAGGCGCCGAGAAGTGGCAAAAGGGATCCTCCGTATGCCACCGGGGCGCCGAGAAGTGGCGCGTCGTCATGCTCATGCCCGCCTGGGCGAGCAGGCGTTGCGGGCGGGCGCGAACCTGGCCGTGAAGTCCGGCTCGTGGAGCTCGAGGCTGCTGTCGTCGAAGTTCTGCGCGTAGCTCAGCGGGTCGTAGTTGAGCCCGCCGGCGCCGAGGATGGAGCGGCCGTGCCGCGCCCTCCGCCGCGCCAGGAAAAGGTGCCGGAGCCTGTGCCACAGCGCCGCCAGGCCGAAGCGGCCCCAGCAGGACGCCATCGGCGCCCGGTGGCCCGCGCCCGCCTCGCACTCCTCCTCCTCCTCCATCGCCGGCAGCCTCCCCGGCGAGGCCCACATGGCAGGCTGCCTCTCGCCGACCAGCAGAGCGGGAGAGAGAGAGAAGGGGGAGGGAGGAGGAGTGCTGGAGTGAGCTGTGCGTTGATGGTTGGTTGGTCTGGCCGACTTGGTAGCTGAGGCGGACGGCCCGGGAAGGGGGGTGGGGTGGGGTCGTGGGATGCGATGTCGACGGCCGCGATGGGTGGGAGGTGGCGCGACAGGTGCGTGGTGAGGCGTGTTCCCTCCCGTTCGGTTTGCAGTTTGGCGCATTCCGTCGTAGTGCCAGCGCTCTTCTCGTGGGGGTCACCGTCCTTTTCAGATTCGGAATGCGAGCGACGTGTTTTCCGCTGCCGTGTGCAAACTTACTGTAATGGGGTGAGTTTCTGTTTGGATTTTAATGTGTTACTTGGCGTGATGCATTTTCTGGCCGTACATTTGCTGAGCAACATTGCACTGCTAGCCGACTTGGGGCTTTAAGACCTTGCCGTTTGGATCCGTAAATTTGGCGACAGATGGAGCCCCTGATGAATGGCAATTGGCAAATGGTTTGTTCAGCTTATGCAAGGTTTGAGATGCAATAGGTGGAGCAAGTTCAATCAAGATCATTACAAAGTTCCCCCGGAAAAAAAAGATCGTTACAAAGTTGCTTGCAAACAGGCTGCAAAATCATTACTTAATCTTGTGCACATCAACTAGCGGATCCAGGAATTCAACTTGGTAAACGTTTACAGCCGGACGACCGGCTAACTTTTGGGCCGGTCGCGCGCGGCGCGTCTGTGTGGACCCATGTACAAATGTACCACGCACTACTCTCTGGCTTCCGTTCTTATCCGCTTCGCTCTTATCCCTTCCCATCATGGTTTTTTTTTTCTTTTCCTCTCTCCCATCGTTCCCCATCTCTCTCAAGCCATTGATGGGGGCACCTTTCCTTCGATCTGCCGGCTTGGTTCTCTGACGAGCTCCCCTTCCACTATAACCCTCTTATCCAACCCAAGCTCCTCCATTCTCCTCCCTCCTTTCCTCCCATCTCATCAGCCCACTCCTTTTTCGCTGCGTGCTTCAAGCGATGGAGGAACAGATGCAGAGCCCAGCCACCGTCTCTGGAAACGGCGAGCCCAGGCGACACCGGTGATGCGACCGGCTCCGCGGGCTGCTACAACCGACTTCGCGTGGTGCTACAACCGACTTCGCGTGGTGCTACAACCAGCACGCGGGGAGCTGGAACCGGCTGCTCCAGAGCTGCGACGGCACGTCGCCGTTTGCTGGAACCGACACTGCGGGGAGCTACAACCAGCTTATCAATAGCTGCAACCAGCAGTCTGCGGTGCTACAACCAACAGAGGCGGTGGGGAAGAGAGGTATTTTTGCTGGAACCATGAGCTGATTTTGCTACAACCATGCAATTTTTTTACTGGAACCAACAATGGGACCAGCACAACGGGGAGCTGCATAGGTTGCTTTTGCTGGAACTATAGTTATTCTTTGCTGGAACAAGGTAATTTTTTGCTTCAAGCGATTTACTTGATTTGTTATTTGCTCAGGTCGTTTTGCTGGAGACCGCAATTTTTTTTGCTGGAACCAGTTTTTGATTTTGCTACAACTGACCACCGGAGTTCTTTTTTGGGCTGAGATGTGTTTTTTCGCTGGTATCCGATGGTGTAGGTCCACGACGATGGCGAGCTGCGTGCTATGTTGGGGGGCGAGAGTTGCTGGAACCGGCGTTTGGCTGAGCTGCATCCGGCAGGGGTGGTGTAGGAGCGACGGCGAGATGAGGAAGGCATCTGGCGATGGAGAAGTCAAGTTGTGGAGAGAGGCGGCGGTGATCCGGCGAGCGAGCGGAGATTCGGCGGGTCATGTCCCCCGTCCATGGCGCTCGCGCCCCTGTGCGTGCTCCCGTGATTTGTAGGGGGAAGAAAAGTAAACGGCATGGTGGGACGAAAGGGTCCTGTATCTAACGGCTAAAAGCGGTTTCATCCGACGTCCCGGGTCCGACCGGCCCAAATTTGGGCCGGCAGACCGACGCCTAATAGTGCCCATTCAACTTTGGGTGTTCAATTTTTTTTCACCCGAAGAGCATCTCCAACAGAAGATGAAAATTTGAAGATGTAAAAATTTACATCTCCAAAAAGTGCCTTTTGCATCTTCAAAAAAGGGTCAACTCCAACAAATGATGCAAAACGAAGATATAAAAGAGCAATTCTAATAGAAGATGCAAACTAGAGATGTAAAACCGACCGCCGGCCGTGGGTTCGCCACTAGGTTGCGGCCCCTCGCCGCCATCCGCTTCAGGCCTCCACCGCGTGGCTTGGAGGCCTGCTGCTTCTTTGCAGGCGCCTCCGTCGCGACGTCGACCCGCTGGGGTGGGCCAAATCCGGGGCGGCGATATGGAGGCGGACGCCGGATTGGGGAAAGTTGGCGCGGCGGCGGCGGCCACGGGGAGGTGGGTCAGGGCACCGGCGAC